TTTTCGCGTCGCGGAAAATAAAAAGACGGTGGTTCGGAAATATGCACTTTGGCACTTTATTGAGGTAGGTTAGTTTTTACACTGGTTGGATGTAACTCCAGGAGAGGGCGGCAAAGCGGTGTGGAGACAATTAGCAGACCAAGAGAGCGAGATGAGAGATCATCTGGAGAGAACTGCTCTCTGGTCTGTTAATTGTTACACTGCCATAAAGAAGTGTCCCGTCTTGGCGCGGACATTTACTTTAACTGTAAAGTATTTTATTTTCTTTTTTAATTAGTTTACACAAATTGATTTCAGTTTATTCACACACACACAACTCAAATTTGGGTATTTCACAAGTTAGTACAACTTTACTTAAACTGTAAAGTGTTTGGATTTTTATAGTGTAGATACGTTCACATATATCGACTCCACTTGAAACAAAAATTAAGACGACTTTTCTTTAACTTGAAATTTCCGGAGGGTTCGCACGAAGGTTTTAGATGATTCGCTCAACTCGGATAGTTTTCTTAAACTGAACTACTTTCCACATTTCTCCTTAACACATAACTTTTTTGAAAACTTGGAAAGTAACCGTTTTTCTTTCATAATATAAACGTGTGAGAAAAAATGTTCGAATATGATTAAATAAAAACGTATTTGACTAAATAAACGATCTCATTTGTTTTTGTGTATATTCTGTTAGGAACCACCACCACCTCCACTATAGAATTGAAACATTTAAGATTACCCTCCCCTTAACTTAATATGTACAAGTTAGAAGCAACATACTTTAGTGTTCGGTAATGCTCGCTAAAGAGGGGGAGGTTCTCGTACTCACGCTTGTTTCATACCACAAAAGTATGCGGTCTATTATCACTCAAACCAACACCTTTTGTCCACAAGACCACTGAAGACAGGTTAAACTAACAGATATCATCTACAACCCTAATTGAATCAACAAAACGGACACGCATAATAAAACAACTTCCCCCTCCTTCTCCTACTACTCAACCTAAATATCGTTTTACAAATTCGTACGCATTACAAAACACCCCTCACACACACACCTTTGGGGTGAGAAAAAAACAAGACAAGACAAGACATGACAAAACACCCCACCCACTTTCACTAGTTCTTTTGGGTGATCCTCACACCTCACACCCCTTTCTAACTTAATTATGTGACCTTTTTATGCTAATTAGGTCATTATGACACCTGTGTGCATCCTAACGGTCACCCAAATTTTACTTATAACTTCATCCCTCATTTGCTCAGTTTGTAATATAAAGTCTATATCATTTGGCATAACTCCCACCGTGCCAACTAAATTAACCAATTCCACTTCCTTTTGTAATTTTGCTAAATTTGCGAACTCCACAAGCCTTGCATTTTCTAAAGCCTTCAACTCTACTACTCTAGTCGACTCTGACGATTCTACCAATTCAGACTTTTCTGACAATTCTAGTAATTCTGACTTTTCTAACAACTCTGACGAGTTTACTAATTTTGACTTTCCTGACGATTCTGACGGTTCTGACGATTCCGATGGTTCTGGAACTACACACGGTTCTTCCATTACCCTTTCTACCTTATTGCTTAACAATTCCGTTTGCCTACATAGGGCATCAACATGCGGCATACTTTCTCCAGGACGGTGGTTAATTTTATAATCGTAGTTCTCTAATTCTAACGATGATAGACTTTTTTACTTAATGTTTGTACTAAAGAATGACAATCCGTCACAATCTTAAAAGGCATCTGTTCTAAATAAACCCTAAAACGACAAAGTAGCGTCAGTATGCAATTCTGTTTCATGTTGCGTAGCGTTGTTTGAAGTCCTGCTACTCCTTGACAAACATCGGCCAGATCCTCTCGAAACGTGCGATCATCCAGTCCAATCTGGGCCACATGCTGCGCAAGAGATTCTGCATGGACTATCTGGTTTTGTAAATCGGCATCGCCTCCCGCAGCGTGGTCTTTCCACACGATGTCGTCTGCAGCTGCCTGATCATCTTCGTCATCCTGGCCAGACTCCTGTTTGTTGCTCATCTTGAACAAAGTGTTTGCCGCAATGCGCAATTGGTGTATGGAAGCGTTGGCGTCAAAATGCACCTCGTTGGCTCTCAATAGCTGTAGTAATTCTTCCTTTGATTGCTTCAATATTTCGCAATACAACATGGGGATTAGACGAGAAAGCTGTGGGCAATCACCCCACGCCTGAATTGTAAATGATGTTCCTTTATTTTAAAGATTGTAATTTTGCTCTTTTATTTTGTGTGCTCTTGTCTTCTTCTTTTCAAAATCAATCACATTTGTTTTGTATCGACAATCGAGTTCACATTCTTATCTATATCAGTTGTCTTAAATATATTAAATATAAAGTACGCACTAATATACATTGCATCACTTAACAGTATGTTCACAATTACTACTATTTATCACATACATATATTATTATATGTTTACACTTTATATATTCAATGGTTGAATCATCTAAAGTGAGTATCCTTCCGGTAAGTATAGGATATACTCTTCAAGTTCAAGAGTGAGGGCCATTCCAAAGCTGGTTTTTTTTACGTTGAGCTCGTTGTTGATCCAGCCATCGACAATGACAAGTACTTCTCTTCATACTTATCATTGTCGATGGCTGGATCAACATATCCCTCCCTCCTCGTCGAAAAGGGCCATTTTGTCGCTAAGGGTCTGAAACTCCTTCCAAGCGATGTGAAGCCTGTCCAGAAGCACAGTTATTTCATCCAGTTCCCAATTTGATCCCGCACGTGGATCTTGTGATGCAGTTAGCAAGCGGGTGAGGCTTGCCTTTGCGCGGCTTCTGGCCGCCTTTACCATCTTCAGTTGCTCCATGGTAATCTATAACTTTATCCGGTTCCGAATGATCAAAGATATGTTGTTGAATAAGATGCCAAATGAAACACCTTATTTCCCAGTTGAGTGGACTGTATATTTCAACCCTTTTCTTGTTACAAATTACACATGGTTTTTTCCCATTTTTGTTGTTGCAGACTAAACTTTAGATCCCTTCAAAATCCCAAAAATTAGTGTGTCGCAGCACAAAATATACCAAATCCATAAGGCAAAAATACTTAAACTTATCACTCAGTTTCAGACCAAAATATGTTTATAAATCGAATTAACAGCTGCAATGCGTTCATCAACACTAATAAAAGAGGAGTGTTGCATATATGACAATTAATAGATTTTTTAAAATCTTCTTCTTTAACATAAGACATTTGTATAGGTACATTTTTAGAAATATGGTTCTCATATATAAGTGTTAAATTTTCTATAAGAGATAGGAGGAAATTCATTCCTGAGTTAAATTTAGTTTCTTAAACAAACTTATCTAAACTATTATCATGTGCACACTTTATAAAGTATGCATATGAAATAGGTTTATGTATATTTACTATATTTAAATTTAATGTTTTATTTTTATCAATCGGTTGAAGGATACATCAAAATCAGCGTGAACTGTGAATGGTATCATCACTTCCTTTTGAAAATTCATATATTTTAAAGTTGCATCCCTCGGGTTTGGTAGACGTGAGACTTTTTTTTACCGCACAATTCAGAGTGTCAGTTGGCAGCATCCTCACTCAAGGAATAATTTACACAAATTTGACAGAACCATTTCTTTGATTTATCTCTCGAAACTTGAGAGGAAACCAAACTAAAATAAAAGATAAACAAAGAAAACAAATTTTTTTAAAATATGAAAACATATACATTTTATCAAATTTAAAACAAAAACACAAACAAAAAAATTAATAATACAAAATACATAATAATGATATAATAAAACTACTTACTTTGATAGATTTTTTATCCATGTATAATGTGCTTTGCATCCTTCCTCCAGTAGCAACATATTTATCGAATTTTTCCTCACTTCAGGGGAATAGAATATGGGTCCAAAAATAGCTCCATCGTCGAATCCGAAAAGTGTTATATTAATGTCTTTATTTATTTGCATAAATTTATTTATGTCTGAAGGTTTAAGTGGAAATTCCAATCCACTGAAATTTAATATGATCCCATTGACTTGAATGAGATCATCTTTTATATTCACTTAGTAACTTGTGCACCTGTTTGCATTTTTATTCAGATTGCTTAATGCAGCGATTAAGCTCCACTTAAAACAGTATTCATCACTCAGGTTTTTAACATTTATTATTGCTTTTTTATTTTCCAAAGAAGTGGGTAATTTTATATATGAAGATCCTCTTAAGGGCGAATATTGATTAATATTCATTTCTAAACGTATGAGATGAACCGAACCAATGTCCATCCACTATCCCTTTCTTGCCCCAAGCGCCAGTTACCTGCGGAACAATATTCTCGACTTTCAAATGTATTTTGTATCTCGGAGGTTATTCGGTTTACTTGTTCAATGGTTCCGCGTTTTTCGCGGAAACAAAATTGGTGGCTTGGTGGATGGCATTGTGGGACTAAAGGTATTCCTTTATGCTATTTAGGAGCAGCTTTTCAAATATCTTTGATAGGAACGGCAGAAGACTGATTGGCCCATGTACAATATAATATATGATGAAGGCTGGAACTTGTCCTTTCCAGCTTTATGGATCATAGTGATGACAGACTTTTTCCATTGTTGTGGATAATAGCCCCATTTCACCATGCTGTTAAATATCATGGTGAGAAGATTAACTGCACAGTTCTGCAATTCCATAATCATTTTAGAGGAGATTAAATCGTGTCCTGGCGCTTTCATTTTTCTTGAGCCTCTATCACTCTTATCACTTCTCTTGATTGGAATGTGATAGGCAGGGTAGCCTCTGAGTGATATGCCATTTTTTTGTTGATTTGTTTTGTTGCCCCTGATGGTTCTCCTTGTTTATTGGGCATGCCTTTGTGACGGTCCGCCGCCACTATTTTAAATGAGCGGGCAATCGATTACTATTCACGCAACCCTGATAAAGCGATAGAGACCGATAACTATTTACGCAGCCCTGATCCATCGATAACGATCGATGACTATCGGGTAATCGTGGGATAAGCCCACCTGCTATCTGGGCACACTAATTACCACCTGGGGCCTATATAAACAGTGCCACGTCCCCATTCCAGTCACTTGTGCTCAGGCGTTGGACCGAGCAACATCAAAGGGGTAAGTGTTCTGATTTCTATTCTGGTGGTGGTTTCCGTAAGAGTGCGGATCTTGATTCGGCTCGAGACCTAGGAGAGACCAGGCCATGGTACAATTATACAAGGTAGTCTCGTCGGCTGCCTAATCGTTCGGCTTTTTATTCAGTGCGTTCGTGCTTGTTGAAGGAAGAGCACGCGTGCGGACGAATTTTTTCAGAGTATTAACCCTTATGCAAAGATGTCGTTCTGCCCTTGGCTGCCAACTTTTTTTTTGTTTTTTAACATGTCGTTTCAGATAATTTTAGTAAAACAAAAAATGTAAAGGAGAAACTCTTAATAGCTGCAAAAAAACATTAATTTAGATATTACAAAATTTTACTTTAATATTGACATTTATTTTAAAATTAAGAACCTAAACAAAGAAATAACTATCCAATAATAGAAACAACGTTCAATTTTAAATTCAAAACTTTTAAAAATTAAATTATAAAAACTTCAACTCTTTTTACTATAAATGAATAATTTAAGCCCCATGCACCATCTAAGGGTTAACAAAAAGCTTTTTTGTCGTTTCTCTCGCACTTACTACGCAGACTCCTCTCACTCGCACTTGTTGTGAGTAATGAATAACGGAGTGCTTTTGCCGACGAGACTACCTTGTATAATTGTACCATGGACCAGGCAACGGAGACTGCACGTAGAGCGCAGTAAGTCTTCGTATGACCGTATTCCTGACAATTCATACATTGCACAGGTCCATTTCGCTTGTGGGGCTCATCAACGGTGATCCAACGGTGCAGCAGATATTAAAGTTTATATATTGGGAGAACTTCATTGTTTTTTCTATTTTCATAGTTTCCGGCTCCACTCTACCTTGTACATTGGCTGCGGAACTTTGTTTTATTTAATATATTCCTAGTCTGTTTGACATTAAAGCCCTTTTCTTAAAGTCCAGCTATGATCTCATATATATGGACTGTTGCTTCGATTTCTTTAATTACTACTGGTGTAGTAACTTATTTTTCCGTTCTCAAGGTGTTTGGCCACAGATAGATAGTCTTGTTGTATAATTGTTTTATTTATGTTATCCCTTTTTAAGGATTTAACATAAAAATGTTTTGAAATTCTGAAAATAAAAATATTTTATTATATAAAAATATTATTCTATATATATTCAACTCACCTTTTTGTGATTTATCTGAAATAGTATTTTCAACTTCTTTATTAATGTTTTGAAATTCTGAAAATAAAATATTTTATTTTATAAAAATATTATTTTAAATATATTCAACTCACCTTTTTGTACTCCACTTGAAATAGTATTATTAACTTCTTTATTTATATTCTGCAAAAACAAACATTTTTCCCTACTCAATCAGATTATATTGTCACTATTAGTTATTTTGAAGTCATTAATGTCATTAATTAGAATTTAACTTTCTTTTTATTTAAATATTCAATTAGCATTTGAGATGCTAAATTTCTCTTTCTCAAATATATTCCATAAATTTTTTCTGCTGCTTCGATACCTATTTCATTTATTTGTGGGGCATCGCTAAGATATCCTGGTTCTTCATCTCCTATCTCTTCCCGTTTACTCTCTTGTATGGAAAGAAGATCGGCATCTTTCGGAATTCTTTCATATACTTTCCTATCTTTCTCTCTCTCTGCATGTATTACTGAATGTGTTAAAACTTCAGCAAATTCAAAGCAATTTATCCTTAATGTTGCTAGGGGGGTATTAATATTTCGCTTAGATTTTCGTTGGTGGTGGCGAGGAGATAAATGTTTTGTATTCCTACGTTTAGATTTATTTGCACTACGTTTAACATGCGATCTTCCTTATATATTATTGTAGTGACATTTAACACCTACCGTAGCACTTTTATATGTTACGGTGAAGAATCTATTTAACCCCCTTCTTCCTAAATCCAGGTGCCCCCTATTTTCCTTTCATTCTCAATTAATTGGTTTTTAAAATTCTGTATTATTCCTCTCTTTGTAAATTCTATTTGAGAGTTATGCATGTTTTCAGTGTTTTTTTTAATTTTTGTGTTGTGTTCCTTTTTATCGGAACTCGTGTTGCACTTTCAAATTCGGTATCACTATCATTGATCCCCAAAACTATTTCTTGAGAGGTATTACTAATTTTAGGTGCTCGACTTACGATTTACAAATCTGCCTCACTATCATTGATACCCATAAAAATTTTTGGTGATTTTTTAGATTCTATGGTTTTATTTTCTATATTCTCAACAGTTGTATCTTTCCTATTAAAATCAAAAAGATTGGGTGTGTTTGATGTTGTTGTTGCAGATATTTTGATGTTGCAGATGTTGTTGTTGTAGATGTTGTTGTAGTTGCAGATGTAGTTGTTGTTGTAGATGCTGCTGTACTTGATTCTTCTTCCTCCTCCACCAGAAACCTACTTATCAAAGTAGGTGGGTTTGATATTGATGTTGTAGGTGTTGTTGTTGTTTTAATTGTTTCTTCAACTGTGCTTGCAGTTGATGGGTTTACATTAATACTATTATTATTAGTATTAATTATTTGCGTATCAAGTTCACTTTTTTAAATTTTTTTCACTATCATCACTAGTCTTGTTTAAAAGATCAATAAAAATATGGCTATCTTCCAAGATCTCGAATTTGAAATCAATTTTTATTATTTTTTTAATTTTGGCATATTAATGAATAATCCAATTGAATTATTCGATTTAGAGGGGTTCTCAATAATCGTCATTTCACTGGGCACCGGTAACATTTTCACAAGCGGATTCATTAGTGAAATTAAAAAAAATATTATTAAAAACGACATTTTTGTTTTTTAATAATCGAACGAAGGCACGCACAAACGAATAAACGAACCGAAATTGACTTTCGTGAACGAATAGACGAAAACTGAATACTTTTTGAAATGCTTTCCCTTTATAACCTCCAGATTGGTAAATGCATATATATATAAATATATATACATGAGTTTATTTCACGCATTGACGTCAATGTGTACATTTTAATTGTTCTTTGCTTCAAGTTATTGTTGTTGTTTTTGTGAATCCAACTATCTGCTAATATTAAAAAAGTCTACACAGTGCGTAACTATACAATCATCTTTTTGTTTTAGAATCTTTAGGGTTCAAGTTCTATTCAAAATTTAGAGTTCTCTGAACCTACTCAACACACAAGCACATAATCATTTCCATTCGAATTCTTATCTTTACATGTTTCTTCACACTTTACAATGTCCATATTGTAATGTATTAATTTTATTGTTTTGTATAACGAGCTTTGTATCTTTGTGACTGAGAACAACTTTTTTACATTTAACTGTTGATAAAAGATGATTTTTAGATCTAATCATTGACATAGATCCTACCACTTCCTCTTCCGAAAACAAGCACTTCTTTTAACTACCTTTGATTTTTTCACTGTTTTTTCAGAGATGTCATTAATATTAGATGACTTAAGGCATACATTTTTGATCTTAAACCAACAAAATCAGTCATCGGTCTGCCACTGAGTTCATCTTTAAAAAATCCCAACCTCTTTTTATTAGCTTTAGGGAAATTATAGAGATTAAGTAATTCATCAAAATAATCTGATGTATCAAACTTCATCTCAATATCATTCTGAATATCTTTATAAAAATCTTCAGTATTAATAGTGTATATAAAAGAATCTGTATCCATCTAATTTAGTTGCACATTTTCATTGTATTTAGGTTTTATTTAATTATAATGAAAATCATACATTTTCCATATTGATAAATCTAATACAGCAAAACCTATATATAAAGGTTTATTGTATAACACACTTAACCTTTTAATTTGAAATGCAAAGAAATTTTCTGAAAACTGTTTTACGCTATGGAAGTTGGACTTTGAAATAAGAGATCTAGCACAATGCCTTTTAGGACCAGAAGAGCCTGATGGTGAAGCACTTTCCCATTCTGTTATTAACTTTACATCCACTCGTTTATCCACATTTTCCATGGTTTTTCCATAGACAGCATTATTTAAAAGTTTAATAAAATCTTTTTTAAATGTATTTTTTGCATTAGTTCTATGGAATGTATTTAAATCAATATATGCTTTAAACCAAGGCTTCTGAAAGAAACGAAGACCTCTATGGATTTTTGTTAGAATTAGGCCATTTTCTAAACCCATTCTGAAACCATCCTGAAACCCATTCAAAACCTATGGTAAAGATTGTGACACAGCTCAACCATATAAATTATTTGCATCCAAATAAATTAAATATGATGATTTTTGAGTACTATCAAAATTCTCAACATATTTATTATTTGCTTTAGCATATCTACATGTACATTGTACTAAGCCACCTCGAATACCACTTTGAATAAATTTATACTGATCTATATCAGTTAATAAATCTAATTCAATTTTAGTACATTTCAACATAGCTTCCCATGATAAACCTGGTGTTGTGAAAAAATGCGCTGGATCAAGTGAATAAATTTTAATGCAAAGTCTTCGGAAGTTTTCAAAGACATCAGACATTAACAAAACATCTGTTTTCAAATACAACTCTAAATAATCTTTTAGATTCTCACATGAAAACTCATTCCATACCTCTTGCGCATGAGTATAATTTTCAATTGAACATTCACTTTCAGTTAAGGAACTATAGAAAGCTTCTCTAGGAGGTAATTTACTTTCTTTTAATTTCTCAACTGAATCTAAATATTCATAAGGAAATACACCCTTTCTTCGCATAAGGTTAAACTGATTTTCATTTGGGAAAAATGATCTTGTAATATGCATTTGATCACTATTCAGGTTTGAAGCTAATTTGTCTAATGCAGAAGGCATAAATCGAAACGAATCTAGAAAACGGATTTCAAAGTTTTCACCATTACTTAAAGTTATAATTTTTAAAATTGAAATATGTATACTGTTCCTTATTTAATGGAATTACCTTTATTTCACCAGGTATGAGAGCCAAATCTTTTACAAATAAATGGCAATCATACCTGGTGAAATTGTGGAAGAAAACAGGAATA